AGTCTCCAAATGATCCACTATTACCCAATGTTGAGCTTTGCCGCGTAAGCGTCTCCGGACCACCTATGAACAACAGAAATAAAAGAAAATTGTAAATCTTATATGCACTATAAATTAATCACATTAAGCTGAGAAATCATTAATATGTACTATTATAAACATAAAAGTCGTTATATTAAATAAATAGAAAGAAAATCAAGTAGGAAAATGATTTTGGAAAGAAAAGGCCCTTCATATAAGTTCATTCCTAAATTTAAATTCAAATATCCTAACACGTTTTTTTGCTAAAAAAAATAACAGGTTTTTTTACTCTAAATTATCAAACTTCTCCAAAAGGCATGCTCAATATTTTCAACGTGTCACAAAGTTGACTTTATGAGAGCTATCTAGTCGACTAGGAATACACATGAAGCATTCGCTTACTATGATTCTCCATATCTAAAAGGTTCAAGCAGTCTGCATTTTAAATGCTTTACGTAATTATGCCACAAAGCGGAGAAAAAGAGTTCTTTGAATATTAAGAGTTTCAAAGAACTGATAAACCAAACTTCTCCTGTAGAACCTCAAAATAAGAAATCACCAAAGGCCCAAAACCATAATGAAGATAAATAGCAACTCACCTAGGCCTTGGCCATGGCCCCTTCTTATAAGCTTTTTTAATCCAGATGCATACTTCCTTACGAGTCGATGGCTTTCCAATTCAAAACTTCAGAATAAAACGAGCAAAATATATATTTCAATCGAAAAAAAGGAAACGTCGATAAAAACAAAAGAAAAACATGTAAGAAAACGAAATCACCAGCCTACTATATCTTCTAGTTCAGCTACAAATCAAAATAAAAATATGTAAGAAAATGAAATCGCCAGCCAATATACCAAAACCAAAATATTTTACGCAAGTTACATTAAAGGATCGTGTGGTTGTACTGGTTTTATTTCTCTTCTCAACCTATCAATGGAACTTCCTCCTTGACCGGTTATACATAAATTTGTCAAAAATCAGTACTCAGTTAGCGAAATCAAGTAAGACTCTACATAAAGATAGTCAAGGAGAATTGCTTACTCAGCCTCCATGCTTAATTTGTTTCTGGCACCACCTACTCTTGAAAGCTCATATTCAGCCTTTCAAAATGAGTAGCAAGCGAATAAGAAAAAATCATGAAGAGTAAAAGAAGTTCAAATCTTCAAAGAAACAACCACATTATATTAATCAAACCATTTTATCTGACTTCTTTATACCTGGTTCTTGGCATAGTCAAATGCCTCAATCCATTTTTTTGATTCTTCAGCCGTGGTACAAGCAATCTTGAAGCAGAAAAAATCTAAGTTAGCCATTAGCCACTTTAACGCACAAGACATTATGACCATCGATAAGATAAGCGTCTCAAAGAGTTAATCGTCTAATGAGAAAAACGGAAAGTTGACATTTGCTTTATGCTATGGAGTATATGTCATTGGAGAGTCATAGATTCACTGAAGGCATGAAAGATTTTAATTCAAAAAAAAATTATGGTTAGATTACTGAAACAACGACACCTATGGAAGCAAGGTTAATTTCCACACCCGGTGATAGTTTGAAGTTGAACAAGAACAGTCAGCTTTAATCAGTCACAAAAAGCTTTCTAGGTGATTCAGTTGAACAATAAAAGATAAAAATAAATCCAGCCAAAAAGGTAAAGATAAAGTCAATCAGTTACAATTTTAAATTAATACCCATAGAAATATTAGGTCACGTCTACAAATAAGGTATTATCTTGACATAGCCACATCTTCCCCCTTCAATATCACATACTAGGAAAGAGCCCAAAGGAAGTACTAATAAACCCTCCATGTAGTTACTGAAGTCCACCATAGCATTTAATATCTCTTGACATATTTCAACATTAACAGTTGGGATAAGTTAAAAAGTGGACCAACACAAGCATGATATGACCCAAACATTTGTATAACAAACTCAAAGAATTATACATACCAACAGAATGTCATGTCAAGCATAATAAACCTGTATCTAGCAATCCTTATCAACTGGATTGGCGAAACAAACTTACTTCTCCTTTTTTGGTTTCATCCAATCGATTGTATAACTGTATAGTGTAGAGTTCCTACAAATGATTAACAGAAAAAGAACACTGTCAAGCACATGATCGAGCTTCATTATCGATTAATCATACAACCATTTGAATATCCGGTTGAGCTGCAAACTAAGCAGTTCAACTAAATCTAACAGTTTTTTTAATCATAAAATGAACAGTTTAGACAACCAAACACCACAAAGTGAAAGTGCGTGTGTGTGTGTTTTTTTTGGGGGGGGGGGGAGGGGGAAGTCACAATGTATTGAAGAAAATGTGAATAATAACTATGAATGTATAAAATGATAATTAACACATGTTTACCTCATTACCGACTTTTCGAATCCCTGTCTCCTCCACGGTTAGTGAAGGTCCAATGATACCCTTCCTCATAGGTTTCTGGACGAGGAAACATATTTCATAACCATGCACATTGGCAAGAGATATCAATGTAAAAATGCAAGAACACGTTTTAAAACATCCATATACAATAGTTTATTTGAGGCATTTCTTACACTACCGTTTAATAAATAGGAATCTTATTTGGAATGAGGTTAGAAAGAAAACAACATCGAATTTGAACTTTGTCTAACAGGAGGCCTATGCGAATTTAATAGCCACAGTTGAGTAAGAGGCCTTGTAGAAGCCAAATTTGATAGCCATGTAACGGCAAGTTAAATTCAATAAGAAACTGCAGTCAGAATTGCAATCAATCATTGTTAAAAGTTACATATCCATTCGGTCCATCCTCTTATATACTATTTTACAACTTCAACTAGGATCCTACAAACTCCAAACTCCAATGAATCCATCTTTCTAAGAATTGCAACAACGTAAACTAATTTTGACCGTCAATAAGTAATATATCAAAATTTCACCATCCCGAAAAAAGGAATAAAAATAAATCTTCATGCATATACATAATCACAATCTTCGATAAGCTGAAAACAAATAAGAAAAAAAATGACGATACGTACAGAGCCGGGGTTCTCTTCAGGATCTCTTCTATGCATCTCAACGTATTTCCCTTTGATATACAGAAATCGATGATGGCAAAACTCATGGCCAATCGAATTGTTTCCTACATGGTACACCCACCCCGAATATATCAAAAGCCCCTTATCGTCCTCGCCGCCGGAGCTCATGCTCCGTCTATACCTATGTTTACTGCCGCTACGGTTGTAATTGTTGTCGAGTCTAACTTCCGACTCGGTTCCTCCCTCGCCTGATCCCGCCTTCGTTTCCATTTCTAAATTTCCAGTTCCACTTAAAAAAAAATCAAATCAATGTAAATTGATTAGATTCATAAGCCTTTCTTCCGTAAATTATAACAGGAAATTTGATTATGATTTGACTGTGGGCGGGTGGGAGAAATATTAAGCAGAGAGTGGTCAGGAGGGAAGGAAGGAATATTTTTGTTTCGCCCGTTTATTTTTTCCATTTATAGACATTAGGCAATGTGGGGTCCATTTTAACGGTTTTTTCAAAATTGTGCGTCAATTCTAGTTCTCACGTAGTACCACAAAGATGACAAAAAATGGAACTGTATTTGGAAAGGGGCAAAATTGGTTGCGACGTTTATATAACGGTCAACGGTCGTTTTGATCTTTATTTTTTATTAAATCTTTTAAAGGTGAGAAGAATAATACATTTAATTATTTATACGATTTTATTTTAATTATTCAATTATTTTTTAATAGGCACGAATCAACTTGCCTCAGTTAGCTATAATGGTATAATGGTACGAAGAGAGGAGAAGGTGAGAGTGGATTCATTCGATGAGGAACATAAGGTGGTGCTATGTATAATGCAAAAGAGTGTTCAGTTAGCTCATTGGAAGCTATCAAGGAATATGTGAAGGATGGAGATATTGAAGTAGCAATTTCTCATATTCGTTTTCTTCACCTTGGTTATGGAGTCGAGGAGGTTGTGTATCGGTATGTTCATTTATTGATAAATGAGTCTGAAATTTCCAATTTCTCATACGACAATTACTTCTTAAAAAGGGGTCGAAGTTAAATACCAACTTAACCAATCAAAGGGATGCTTCCTCTGCTAAGTGCTACCATAGATCTTTAACATTGTTTCTGTCATTCCATTGGTGATTAGTTTACTATTGAGATGATTTAAAGGGTAGAAAACATGATTAGAAAAAGGGGAAGGGACAGGGGGTGGGGGAGGGTGAAGGTTAGGGTGTAAAGAAGAAAATCATTTATAAAATTCTTGTCTATTTAATTAAACAAAACTTCCGTTTTCTTGTTGTATATTCCGCGATGAAATCATACTTTTAGAAACAAGTATTGCTTAAACTGGAGTTAAACCAAGCCAATACATTCGGAGTGACCACTCCTAGATGTACTAGAACCATTTTATATATGCTGAAGATGGTTAGATGTCAATAAATCTATTCTTATACGATTAAAGAATAGTGTGTGGCCAAGTAGACACCACACAGAGTTTCATTATTTTTTTCTGTGGAATTAAAGATTTTCTTAAGCATTCTTTCGTGTACTACTGCTAACATTTTCTTAGAATAATTGGGTAAATCTCATCTTTTGTTTATATTTGCTTGGCTTTGTAGGTGGAAGTTGAATGACTCAGATGGACCACAGTGGAAACATTCACTTTTTTGGAAATCCAAATGATCAAGAAATCTTTAGGTTATTATCATCTGACTCATATTTAGGCATCAGAATAGCAAAAATGATTTTTTGATGTTCCTACTGGTTGGCATTGTTGTCAACAACTAGGAAACCATGGTTGGCTCCTGATCTAATTAGGATACCGGTTAATTCTTATTTATTGGAAATGAGAAAGTAGAGCTAGTTTAGTTATATTTAAATCAACATTGTATGTTACTTGAAGCTGTTAGCTGAAGGAATTTTAGCTAGTTTAGTTATATTTAAATATTTGCTTGGCTTTGTTAGTGGAATGCACATTAATGACAATGTTGACTGGTTTGTTTGCTTGCTTCTTTTCAGGAGGAGGTGTGAGACTGCAGAAACTCTTGTTGAGAGGAACTCTGCAGAAACTCTTGTTGAGAGGAACTTTGATCTGGCATTCCTAGTTATTTATGAATTTAGTCTTCCAGGTGGCCGCACCTTTGTTTCCTTTTTGCCAATTTCTTTTTAAGTTTCCATTTACTTTTCAAAAAAAAAAAAAGTTAATGCAGCGTTGCTTTTCACATTTGGAGTATTTTCCGTGCCATGCAGCTGTTGACATATATGCTGCTGTTTCTGCATCGCTTGCTGAAAGAAAAAAGGGCAGCCAGTTGACCCATTTTTTCAGAAATATTAAAGGAACAATTGATGATGATGATTGGGATCAGGTAACGTACTTTCTTTTTTTGTGGTATAGTCAATATATTGGTACCAGAGGGCCAACACTTTTTACTTTATATTCTGGTAGGTGCTTTACCAAAAGGAACTTTTTAGTGGAATACAATAATACTTTGTTAAGTTATATGCAAGGCACAAAATGCATTCAATTGGACTCTCGAGCAATAAGCTCTCTTTCTCTTGTGACTCTTGTGCTGCTGCTCTAAATTGGAACTTCTGTGCAGAAAGGGTTCCACTTGCATCTTCTTGCTATACAGTCCCTTGGAATACAAGGACTGACTGTGTACTTGTGCAGTTCAAAATATCACACAAACTTGCCAAAGGTTGATGCATGCTCTGTTTATTTGTATTCTTGATTAATTCAAAGGTAGAAGTGTCATAAGCATTGTAACATCTTCTGAGTCCAGCTAATACTTGTCTGGCTGAACCTGAAATGCCATCCAATCCATTAAATGAAGCAAGTTTATTCAAATTAAGCTCGATGGTGACCTTTTTCATTATGCTTGGTAGTTTCTCAACAAAATAAAATAAGGAATTCTTTGAAATGAATATGACTAGAACCCTCCCCACCCCAAAATAATGGTTTTGTTTCATGTATGAGTAATCCTGTGATTTTTGGTATTTTGTAGGTGTTAAGGGCTGCTATTAATATGTATGCTAACAAACACAAGGAGAGCCCCGACCGTCTCATTGACATGCTAACCAGTAGTCACAGGTAATCATTTTGGATATCCCAAGTTTTCATTTGTTACTTTCGCATTTGTTTCAAGGTATAGTAGATCACACAGGGTAGATTTTTTTTATAAGAAAAATGTCTCGTTAAAAACCCCTTCATAACCGTCAAGCTACACAGTAACTTGACGGACATTAGAAGGAGGAAAAGAGTGCCCACATTTTATTAATAGAAAGTACAACCTGGGTAAAAAAACCCTTGATTACAACCATTCCCATAAATCAACACCTCTCCCCTCAAAAGACAACCTACACACCAAACAAAACCAAAAAACACACCCTACATTACCCGATACCCGCCTTAGCTAAACCATCGGCTTCCCAATTTATACTTCTCTGAACATGACTTAACAACACATTAGAATCCAGCACGCTCTTTGCTATTTCCTTAACCAGATTACCAAATAGAGCAGGGCTTGCTTCAGGATTTTTAATCCAATTCACAGCAATCAAAGAATCACTCTCCAAAATGAGACGCCCTTATCTTTCCAATTCGAATCTAAAAACAACTTCAACCCAGCTTGAATTGCTTTGAGCTTAGCACGGACCGGAGGACCTGTTCCAGACGCAACCGAGAAGGACCCCATCTGCTTGCCTTCAGCATCCCTAAGCAGCCCACCGATACCACTGCACCTCCAGTCACAGCCCACTGCCCCGTCCACATTGACTTCAGACCACCCTGAAGGGTAGATATTCATGAGTGCTATTCTTCTCTGATGAGTTTTTTTTTCTTCCTCGCCTACCAAAGAATAAAATTGGTTTGGTTCTTTAATTCAAGTGATGATCAATGTTGCAATATTGTTGGTATTGGTGATGTCAGAATTAAGATGTATAATGACTCTGTTCGGACGTTGAGTGGTGTTCGACATGTCCCATATTTGAAGAAGAATTTGATTTCTTTGGGAACTTTGCACAAGAATGGTTTTATCCCTAAGGCTGATGAGGATAGGGAAACCATTCGGATTGTTAAAGGTGCTTTGACTGTGATGAAAGGAAAGATGACTGCAGGAAATATTTATAGATTGTTAGGGAGTACCGTTGCAGGTGGAGTTCATTCTGTTGAGTCCTGTGATGATACTAAAAAACTGTGGCATATGCGTCTTGCTCGTCTTAGTGAACGTGGTATGACATAATTACACAAAAGAAATCTGTTGCATGGTGTCAAAAGCTGTAAGCTCGATTTTTACAAGTATTGTGTTCTTGGTAAACAGACTAAAGTCCGTTTCAAGACTGCGAGGCACACAACTCAAGGGATTCTTGATTATGTGCATTTTGATGTATGGGGGCCTTCCAAGACATCGTCTTTGGGTGGATCTAGGTATTATGTTACTTTTATTGATGATTTTTCACGGAAAGTTTGGGTGTATTTTTTGAAACAGAAATCTGAAGTTTTTGAGAAGTTCAAGCTGTGGAAAGCTGAGGTAGAAAACCAAACAGGACGAAAAATCAAGTGTTTACGGTCTGACAATGGTACGGAGTACACAAATTCACAGTTCTTACACTTCTGTAAGGAGCACGGGATTAAGAGACATTTTACAGTGCGCAAGACACCATAACAAAATGGTGTTGCAGAACGGATGAACAGGTCGTTGAATGAAAGAGCCAGATGTTTGCGGTTGAATGTGGGGCTTCCCAAACACTTCTGGGTCGAGGCTGTTAACATGGCGTGTTATCTTATCAACAGATCGCCAAGGGCATCATTGGCTGGGAAAGTTGCAGAAGAGGTATGGACTGGTCATGATGTTAGTTTTGATAACTTACGGATTTTTGGTTGTCCTGCTTATGTGCATGTACCTGCTGATGAGAGATCTAAACTTGATGCAAAATCGAATGAGTGCATTTTTCTGGGTTACAAGAAAGGTGTCAAAGGATTCAAGTTCTAGGATCCAGTTGCGAAGAAAATTATGATCAGTAGAGATGTTGTTTTTGATGAACAATCCATGTTGCAACAGAAGAAAGACACGACAGTGGTGGATTTCGAGCAGTTTCCAGTTGAGAAACTAGAAACTTCTCAACCGACTTCTGGTGGTTCCACTACGGATGATTTGCAGGATTATAGTCTCGCCAGAGATAGGGTGAGACGGACGAATATAAAGCCTCCAAGTAGATTGGGTTTTAAAGACTTGGTCTCTTTTGCACTTATTGTTAGCAGTGATGATCTGGTTAATTTTCATGATACTGTTACTAGTCAGGAAAACGACAAGTGGATGGCAGCCATGGTTGAGGAGATGGAGTCTTTGAATCACAATCGTACATGGGAGTTGGTTCGCCTTCCTGGTGGTAAAAAGTCGATTAGTTGCAAATGGGTGTATAAGAAGAAACCAGCAGTAACAGAAAAAGAGGGGGAGAAGTTCAAGTTCAAGGCTCGTTTGGTAGCAAAGGGTTTTTCACAACAGAAAGGAGTTGATTATGATGAAATTTTTTCTCCTGTGGTCAGGCACACTTTAATCCGAGCAGTACTTGCATTGGTGGCCAGTTGGGATTTGCATTTAGAGCAGATGGATGTTAAAACTGCTTTTTTGCATGGTGATTTAGAGGAGCAGATCTACATGCAGCAACCTGAAGGTTTCACTCAACCTGGAAACGAGCATTTAGTTTGCAGATTGAATAAATCTTTGTACGGGTTGAAACAGTCTCCGAGACAGTGGTATAAACGGTTTGACTCCTATATGATCAAGATTGGCTACAACCGATGTGAGTATGATTGTTGTGTCTATGTTAAGAGCCTTGATGATGGTTCTTTTATTTTTCTATTACTGTATGTTGATGATATGTTGATTGCTGCGAAGAACATGGATGATGTTATCGGTTTGAAAACTTTATTGAGTCAGGAATTTGATATGAAAGATTTAGGTGCTGCAAAGAAAATTCTTGGAATGAAAATTTGCAGGGACAGAGACTCAAGGAGACTGTGGCTATCTCAACGAGGTTATGTTGAAAAAATGCTAGAAAGGTTTGCGATGAGCAGCGCAAAACCAGTTAGCACTCCATTGGCGAACCACTTTAAGCTCTCATCAGAACAGTGCCCTAAGACAGATAAGGAAGTTGAAGATATGGCAAAGGTTCCGTATTCTAATGCTGTTGGCTGCTTGATGTATGCAATGGTATGTACTCGTCCTGATTTAGCTCATGCTGTTAGTCAAGTTTGTAAGTACATGTCTAAACCTGGTAAGCAACATTGGGAAGCAGTCAAGTGGATCTTTCGATACTTAAAGGGTACTGTGGGACATGGAATTGTTTTTGGTAGTCAACGAGATAATCCTTTGGTTGTAGGATATGTGGATTCAGACTATGCAGGTGACTTGGATAATAGAAGATCTACGACATGGTATGCTTTTACTCTTGGTGGAGGACCTATTTGTTGGAAGTCTACTGTTCAATCTGTTGTGGCACTATCTACAACTGAAGCTGAGTACATGGCAGCGGCTGAAGCTGCAAAAGAAGCTTTATGGCTCACTAGTTTAATGAAGGAGTTGGGTGTTCAGCAAGGTGGAGTTCAGCTGCTCTACGACAATCAAAGTGCTATTCACTTAGCTAATAATCAGGTATATTGTGTTAGAACTAAGCACATTGATGTACGTTTTCACAAGATCAGAGAGTTGGTTGCATCTGGAGAGATTTTGTTTCAGAAGGTACACACTGATGAGAATGCCACTGATATGTTCACCAAGCCAGTTACGACAGACAAGTTCAAGCATTGCTTGGACTTGTTGAATGTTTCAAGTTGTTAAATAAGTAAGGTAACCCAACCCACATTGAATGTTTCCTAGGGGCAGGATATTCGCCAAGGTGGAGATTTGTAAGGTATGACTCATAATTTTGTAATTATGTACCAGAGTTTTCCATTATAAATAGAGATGTAACCTAAACCTATGAGAATTGAATAAAATTTTCTAGCGCCGCCTAGGCACCGAGGACGTAAGCACATTGCCGAACCTAGTTAAAATTCTTGTGTTCTTTCGTTTACTTTGCCCCATTTATCAACACCTAGCCACGACCCTGAGTCCAATATTCTTATCAGAAGGATTATATTTTATTTGTGCAAGCAGTGGGCTATCTCGATACACTTCAGACAATGCGAGTCTAATATGCTTATCAGAAGGATCATATTCTATTTGTGCAAGCAGTGGGCTATCTCGATACACTTCAGACACCGCGAGTTCAATATACTTGCCGACCATATGACTAAACCATTACCCGCCATATGACTAAACCATTACCCACTAATGGAAGCTCAACGTATCCTGCTTTCTGATCAAACTTCCCAGGGGAGAAGACCTTCTCACTGCTAATGCAGTTTTGTTCTTTGTAACAAAAAAAAATACAATTATGAGCTCATTGGATAAGACTATAGGGAGTTGCTTTGGAACCCATAGATTATTAAAATTTATAAAATGGTCACTCAACTATTTATTATGTTTCAAACTCATCATTTCCGTTAAAAATCAAACGATTGTCTGAGTTTGACGTTAACATGTTAACTGAGATATGATAGTCATTTGAAATTATGATATCAAATTTTATCAGATCTCAATCGGCAGATTAACGTATAACTTATATTGCCGTCAAAATTTTAACGGAAAATGACGAGTTTGAAACATAATGAATAGTCAAGTGACCATTTTATAACTTTTAATAGTCGAAGGACTTAACAAAATAACTTCCTCTAATCGATAATCATTTTATAACTTTTAATAATCAAGATATTCAATAAAATATTATCATATATTCAAATGACTATCCAGCTCAGTTGGTAGAGCACAAGGTTCTTAACTTTGAAGTCGTGGGATCGAGTGTCACGGAAGGCATTTCATAATTCGGAGGTCTTCTACGAAAACTACTCTCAACCTGATGTTGGGACAGCCTACTATCTTACTCCATCCTATGGAACAAGGGACAGCCAAACCAAAGATGATGCAAAGGTAAAATCCTGAAATTTGACAGTCCCAATAAAAATTAACCCTAAAAGTTCCTAACGTGCCATCAGATTCACTGTTGAGAGGTTATTAATATTTCATTTAGGCGGGAAAAATTCTTACTTTTCCCCTCCCGCTCCCTTCTCTTTCAATACCCTCGACAAACCTCACACGCTCTTTCGAACGGCCCTTTTCTTGTTTTATTCTGTGAATCTTTCATCTTTGTTCCCTCTCTAGATATGGTCGTTGGTCGAGGAAAGCCCACTCTCGGAGAAGAGGTGCCGGTGGAAGGCAAGGGGTCCCGAAATGACTCGGTCTTCATTTTGGACGATTCATCTATCGAGTCGGAGGTCGCCAAGCTACGTGGTAGATGGGAACTCGCCTCGGTTCTCAACTTCCTTATTGTAAGAGCCATTTTTTTCTTTTTGTTTCGGAACACAGCGTTTAACTGTTGATCATGATGTGAGAGAACAGAGATTAGTGTTTGTAATTGATCGTCCGTTTCGACAGGTTTTTGAGCCTGTGATAGGGAGTGATTTGAAGTTAACGGCGGAAGAGATCGAGTTAGGGCTGATTAAGCCTAATGCTTCAATTGCTGCACTTCATATCAGACTTTTGATGGTTCTGTTATTCCTCTTAGCATTTGGAATTTCTTTTATTAATAAGTGCCGTTGTTGAATCTTTTATTATGGTTTTCCCAAAATTCCATTTCGTAGTATGGATATTGCTTATAGTTGCATTGAGTTGACCCTGTAAATAAACATTTTACACTATTGGCATTAGAAACCACCTTTACTTATGTAATGTATTTGCTCTTTGTTGGATTGTGAAGCTATTGCTCTATGATTTGTGATTCTTTCCTATATAAAAGTTTTCATGTTTGAGGTTTCCTTTTTTCTTTACTATGTATTAAATTAAAATGTTTGTTGGCACATGGCAGGGGACGCCCCCTTTGAGTAAATTGATGAAGGTCTCTGATGGATGGATGACTGCACTTTGCAAAAAACTTACAATGTGGTGGCCATGGGTGAGGCAAAACTTTTCTACTAGATATGCCAACTTTATAGTAGTCTGCATGAGCATGACTTGATAAGTTCTTAAGCTCGTTCGTTTTGTTGCCCATTACTGCAGGTTGCTGAAGGAGAGATTCCGTTCACTGCTCGCAATGGGTATTAATGATAATCTTCTGTTTGTTTTAATAGCTAAATCCACAGTTCCACACTTAATCCTCAATAGTAGATGATCATGCCTTGAATGAGCTGTCTTGATTTGTTGTTTTATAGAGAGGAGATATCTAAATACAAAGAGCTTGATCCAACAAGGCGCTTGCTTCTCTTAAAAGCACTTTGTGAAATTCGAGCAGATGTAATTTATCATCCTTTTGAATTCCTTGTTGTTTTTATTGAACTAGTAATCGCCTCTCTATCCATCATTATGTTCATCCATGCCATGTTTGGAATGGTTTCTTTATATCATCCCACAAGTCCAATTTTTAATTCAGTAAACGAAAAATTTGAGATGAATGTGATGTGGTAATTCTATGACATTTTTTTTAACTTCTGTTTTATGGGTCCTATTATTCTACAGCAAAACGATGCAGTTTCATACATTAATGATGCTATGAAAAGTAACAAAGAAACTTCTTGCTTCCGAAAAGAGAAGATAGGGGCGAACGGGAATGTTTCATACTGGTAACTTTTGACTGTGTTATGGATTCTGTAAAATCAGTTGTATGATTCTTGTTGATGAGTTCTCTTTTGTTTGTAGGTATGATGGAAGTACAATCTTTGGGTATAGATTGTACAGGGAAGTTAAAAAGACGGAGCCTCAATCAAAAGCCAAGGGGAAAGCACGTTTAACCTTGCCAGCTGTCTGTTCTCACTGGGAAACCCTTGCATTGGATTTCAAGGAATTCCGTGGAGTTGTTGTAAGTTCACAATATTTGTTTGTTCTTTCGACATGAAAATGATATGTAATGTTTTCCTTTCTTGCTGTAAACGGCAGGGTACTCTATTGGCTAGCAAGATTGCAGCGGAAGTTGCTATTGGCAAGACTATCAATAATGATGTCATTCCTGTTGTGGAGAAATTTGAAAAGGTAAGTTTGAGAGGTCTTTTTTTATCCTCAAGTAAATCTGGTGTATCACACTGTTCTTGTGTTTCTGTTTTATTTGGTGTATCTGTTAGTAAATCTGTTCAATATTGTGTGATATAGAAGAAAGAAAGGGCACTGAACCGGAAGAAAAGGCAAGAGATGCTCCTGAGTAGCTTTAGAAGTTCTTGTGCTGGTATGACTCGCACATGTCGCAGTCGTAGGCCTGTCAGTTACACTTTTGGTATGACGGAAACTTGTTTCCTGCAATTGTTCCAATCCAATGATCTGTCATATATTATTGATGAATTTAATCTTTTAGCTATAAACATGTGTAAATTGCTATATATTTATATCATTAGCTTAACTGAATTATGATATGCACACTAGAAAGGTCAAGTTAATAACTAAACTTATATTTTGGGTGATTGGGAATGATGAAACTTACATGAGTTATTTTCCTTTTGGCCATCTTTTTAAATGGGTTTAGCTATAGTTAAGTATAATTTACGTTCTACTTTTTAAAAGAAAAAATAAAGGTTCTTTCCTTCATTTGGTAGGGTGGGAATAGGAGGGAAGGAAACCGAGTGGATTTGCACCTTTCCTTCCCTCCAAATCCAATCCTTCCAACTGTGGGATGAAAACACACTTTCCAACTTAATTTAACAATTTTGTTTACAACTTCTTACTTTTCTTTTCCTTCTATATTTCAGCCATACAATCCCAACAGGACGAAGAAAATATATCTTTCCATCCTCTCCTTTTTTTCCACCTTTTCCATTCCCCCTCCATTTTTTTTGATAAGATTTGAAGGCCTCATTAAAAACCTCCTTCTTGATTAATGGAGCTTTTATGGAAGCTTTTTAATCAGCGGAAGGAGGAAAAGAGTGCCTTAGAAACTTCATTAAAGAAAATAAGAATTACACCCCAACAAAAGATAAGACAAATGTCCCTTACAAAGAGCAACAACCCCCTTCCGAACAATACTCAGAAACCCAATCGAACCACGCTTTTAACATAAAATTCAGCCTATATCAGCCTTAGCTAAAGCATCAGCATCCATATTTGCTGTCCTTGCAACCCATCTAACAACCCCCCCAAAAAATCTAAGTTTAACAAATATATCTCTAACAATAGAAGCATACACGACTGGACAAGAATCAACATTGTTAATCCAGTCTATTGCTACCCTGCTATCACTCTCAACTATCAGTCGATCTTTAACCATCCCTTGGATAGATGCAAAGTAAGAAAAACCCCTTAGAATAGCTTTAAGTTCCATCAATGTTGGAGGTCCTGAACCCGCAGAGTCCTGAAAAGATCCTAGTATAGCACCTGAATGATCCCTTAAAATACCTCCAAGACCACTTCTCTTCCAATCACCACTAGTGGCAGCATCCACATTCAGTTTTATGAAGCCCATGGGAGGAGGTAACCAAGGGATAATAGAAGACTTCAGAAAATTGTAGGATGAATAAGAATCCCCTATTGAAGGGTCAGAAATTAAGGCATCCTTAGGAATAGAAATATCCTTGTGCTTAGCTAGGAACCAAGTAGCAAGCCTAACTTTTGCTAAGAAGAATAGTTCTGTCTGATCAAGCTTCCCCCTCCATTTTCCTTCTGATCAAACATAGGGTAAAGCTTAGGCTGGTCAGTTGGGTGTAGCTGAATCTTACTATTGTACTTATTTTATTGTGCTTTAGTCTAAGGTAAACTGTAACATTTGTTTTAATCAAAAGCACAAAGATCAACTTATGATGGGTTTATAATCATGCAGATGAATATGATCGTGCTATCGACGAGGCTATAGAAATAACAAAGTAAGACTTGTTTAATCTAATTACATTGGTTGTGTATCTTCATCTTCTTAGTTATTTTCACTGATTTAATCATATATTCTTCTATTACATGTAAAAAATGCATAGGTCTTTCTGTTTGGGTTTCTAAGTAATAGTAGGATCTCTAAATAAAACTGAATTATTTATTTATTTCGTTATGAGAACTGTTAAACTGATGGTTACTGCGCATGTCTGCTGCCCCTTTCTGGCTTTTGTGATAGCTGCCTCATATATACTTGTTTTTGTATTGTTGTGTCCTGGTTCAATGAAATTGCTATAAAAACCCCCAATGAATATTATTTACTAGAAAACCTTTTGTTTTAAAATTTGCTCTGAGACAAGAGGTTAACACCAAAGAGTGGTTTCTACTTGAACTGAAATGACCTTTAGGAATATCCTTCAGAAGGGAGGTTACAGTTACAGTAAACAACCGATTTGGTCTAATTCTTTTTCTTGGATGACTTAACCATTTATTGGTTGCGACTTCAATCTCGATACAGGAGAAGGAAGACAATTGAGGAGCAAAGCCAGGGGCAGAAGCTTCCAAGACAAACTTTTGGCTCCAATGGAGGTTCAGATGTGGAGGGCTCTGTCTCAAAGGACAGTTCAGACGGGAAAGCAAACTCCATGGGTAGTAACACCGAAGATGACAAGCTAGAAAAAGCTGGTGATAATGGTAATGAGAAAGAGGATGATGATGATTATAGTAGCGAAACAGACGGTGATGACAACAATAGTAGCAACTTGGAAAGTTCTGCAGATGAAAATGAAAATTTGAACAATGACAACCATAAGAAACACATGTCGATGGGATCACGGCGGAGTAAAAGATTGGCTGTAGTTGATATCCATCCTGCTGTAAGAAGTGGAAATTTTGGCACAAAATATAGGTTGAGGCAAAGGCCAGTTGTCAACTCTGCCCTTGAAGTTATTGTGCCTGATTCAGAGGATGATACCTCGTCAGATGATACAATGTAAGCAATGGGATATCTGGTTCTAAAAGCTTGCCTAGAGATGCTGTTCTAGGGTTATTAGAAACTGATAGCTAAAGTTTGAGAATGAACCAAGTCAGCGGACAATGCACAGATTGCTGAAAGCTTTTGTTCTTCAAACTATTTCTGTAGTAACCTGGAAAATTTTGTAAAGTGGCAAGCATTGTCCGTATTGGTTTTTGGATGTAATTTATGAGAGGCAATATGGTTCTTTTATAACCTAATTCTAACATCACCACCGTGGACCATAGTTTGATCGAGAAAAACTAGTACTAAGTTTTCTTCCTATGTACCATAAGCAGTTGGTTGTCTCTCTGTATCTTCTCTCATGCTTGTTGATTATCATCCCTAATTCTGACTAAAGATTCCTGTGGTAAATGTTTTTGCTTGTTTTCAGTGTTTTTGAGTTAATAATAAGGGTAAAGTACACTAAGTACTTAAATTATCAATTTTAGTACTTAACGTTAAATTTTAAACGAGATGTTAAAATGAAATAAAAATTAAACTTTTATGATTTTGAAAAAATTGAAAGTTTAGGTACTAAAATAGATTAAAATTGTTGTACTAAATGCATAATTTAACCTAATAATTATAATGCTTAGATTTTTAATCTATAACAGAGGTCAGGATGGCCGCGTGGTCCAAGGCCCCAGACTCAAGTTCTGGTCTTCGGAAGAGGGCGTGGGTTCAAATCCAACTTCTGACAATGTTTGTGCAAAATATGATTAGTAGTCCAAAAAAACATACTTTTATTATTAATAGTTGTTAAAAATCAAACAACTTCCAAATGTCAATTCACATCTAAGCAAATGTGCACACTCTCAACTGACCCAGATGTCATCATTTCACATCAAAAGAGAAGCTACCAATCGTAGCCAATGGCTAACCAAATTGTCATGTCTCCTCTCTCTCTCTCTTCTCTATTCACATATTCAAAGTCCTGTTGATTATTTTGTACACGTTAGGCATTATATTTTCAGCTCATCATTAAACATTCCGAATCTGATCATTTTTATTAACCATGGCCAAAGCAGGGGAGAACCTGAGGCTTTATAGTCCTCGAGTGGTGGTGGATTATTTTTATTAACAACGAGATTAGAGCCAAGAATGTAATAACTTGAGAGTGCATAATTATAAGATTTGGGAGATTCAAAACAGCAACAACTAAATGGATTGGTGCCTGTTGAATTTGCTCTTTGTGAAGCGATGCAGACGTGTAAGCATCCGCTGTTAAGAATCCTTCAATTGTGAATATATATCTCAAGCGTAAATGCAGGGACAGAGCCAGAATCAAATATTGAGAAGTGTAAGGTACCTACTTTCAAAATAATAAGGACCTAAAATGCTATTAAGCCAAAAATTTTGGCTCCCAATATAGCTCCGTCCCTGGTAGACATGAGGCAGAAAGCTAGGGACCTGATTGAAAGCTTGCCAGTGAAGACACCTAGCTAGGTGCTTGAAGCCAGCCCAGAAATGTCTCAAACAAGGGGTTCACAGAAGATGCAACTTCTATATTTCGATAAACCAACATTATTAATATACACATACAAAGGGAATCTCAAAATTTAAGGCCTTCGCCATTTGTCTCCCATAAATATATCCAAGCACTACGAAACCATTAATTTAATCTTTCCACTTAACTTGGGTACCTAAAAAAGGGATGATTCAGAGCTTGGCGTGCAGTGAGACGTTCGGATGGATCATATTTCAACAAACCTTCCAACAGGTCGGCCAGTGAATATCTTGAGCTTTCTACATGATGTGATATCATATTCTGAAATACATCACGAGTTTTGATCAGGGAACAAAAACAAGCATGTCACTTGTCGAACCAGATACATGACGTGAAAAGAAATCATACCTTCAGACGATCAAGCTTCTTAACAGCTCTAATACTCTCCCTAGATACTGCTCCTTCAGGCCAATTTAGTCTAGAGCCTCTCCTGAAATATTTTTCAGCACCCCGGCTGCGGTCAAAACCAAACTACGGTGAGACAAGTATTACAATCAGTTAATTAAGAGATTAAAAGATAACTATGAAACTTACTTAGCCCTTCGAATCATATGCTCAGGAAGAGGTCCCAAAACCCTCTCCATCATCGCCAAATGCTCCAAGTTTTCATGGGTTTGAAATAATGCCTCACCCTGCACATAATTCAGGGTAAGATCCATGTTCCACACATGAATGAAGCTAAATGTGTCTCAAGAAATACAGGACCAACCATGCATAATTCGATAAGTATACAGCCAACACTCCACGTATCACACGGATAGCTCCAACCTAGACCTGCACAAACGCAATTATTTATGTGTCAAAAAAAAGTTGTGCCATTTAAAACTTGAAAGTGTCAAAAGTAATTCAAAACATAAGTATAACAAAATTGGTAAAAAGGAACCAACAGAATAAAAAATAAACTAATAATCCAGACAAGCAATTGAATCAATAGAACCTACAGAAAGACATGTCACTAAAAAGGAGGGCTACATAAATCTCCAGCAAGTATTTTTCAGGTAGTCATTCTAGATCATTGCAACCTTAAATTCTATAATGTGATTCTTGAACAGTCATCCTTAACTAAAATGGCACCTGGAAGTATGCCATTGGAATGTATACTTTTTTACCTATCCTGTAAAGCAGGAATAGAGTTAAAAACTACAGATGACGTTCTACACTTGGAATAGAACACAACACTAAGAAAACAAAACCACATCTTATTTTTCAACACAATAATTGGTTACCTAAAATAATTTCAGGGGCTCTGTAATGCCTCGTGGAAACAATGGAGCTATGATTCTGATTATCAAATGCAGCACTACCAAAATCAATCAGCTTAATGGCACTTGACTTTGGTAAGCACCTGAAATTTGTTTCATCTGAAGAACTCCTCTGTACCATTCCAAGCATTTTCATTGTCATAACTGAGTTTGTACCCCAAATCTAAAACGGTATAAATCATTGATTATCGAAGGCCAAATACCTTACGGCCAGGAAGCTTTACATATTCAGAAGACACAAGAAGAATATTTTCTGGCTTCAGGTCAGTGTGGATTAAGCGTAAATCATGCATATCTGTCAGAGATATTAAAAGCATAGAAAGATGTTAAAAGCAACGGGCAGAATAAGCGACCCAACACTAAGCCTGAACAAGCAAAATAGGCCGAGAAAAAGAATAGGGTGGGTGGTTAGAAGATGAGATATGATGAAATAGGAAGCAAGAACAATCCACACATGCTACAGATTCCAAAAGCTGACGTCCAAATTCCCGAACAAGATCCACAGGAAATGGGCAGTATTTATTTCTCTTTAGAAAATCAAATAAACTTGGTCCAAGCCTCTCAAATACCTGATAACACCATTAAAATGCATCCACAAGAAGGTTTTTGTTTAGTCCCAATTTACATGAATGAAGTCCACAAGGAAAAAACAAAATACAGGTATTAGAACATATTCAATGATCTCATCTGAAGCTTTTAATTTCAACTAATTCGCCTAAAAAGGGTCACAGCAAACTGAGGAGACAAGCACCATTAATTCTAAAAGAACAAGAAACTTCAACAACTTCTTTCATAGCAAAATTTTAAGCTAATCTCTTGCTTAAAATAAAGTTAGCAATACCAAAAATTCCACATACACAACTGAAAAAGAACATATAATGCTTAGAAGAAGGTTCAATGAATACTTACAATACAAATGTGATTACGGTAGTCAAACCAATTCCGAATCTGCACAAAGCTGCAAGAAGTAACCAAAAGAGTCTGTTAAGTGCACAACTGAGACGAGATGCAATATCCATAAACTGAAAATAGGAAGACACGTACTGTGAGGTGCCTTTATCATTCTTAGCTAGATGTTCAAGAACATCAACTTCAATCATTGCTGCATCACGATATTTTCGTATGCTTCTAACTACCTTAATTGCGACATATTCTCGATTTTGACGGTCCCAACATTCCAAAACTCGGCCAAATGTGCCTACAACACTAGCAATTTTGGCTGAAATGTGCTACAACCAGAATCACAAAAAGTAAAAGATCTCACAGCAGAGCACTTTGACAGCTAACCTTCACCCATCTTACTAAGAATTTTATCTGTCAAAGCATAATTACAAAAATCATTGATAAAAAAAGTACATCATATATATATATATATATATATATGCAAGAGATAAAAGTGAATAATTGAAAAATGGGGGATCTTACATCTTGGAGTGAGATTTTCACCGAGATTAAATACGTAATGGCCTTCATGATCGTCATCCCTTTTGGGCGGTGATGAACGTCGAGACGTCACCAAATCTTTTTGTGCCTACAAAACATTTCCCAACGCAAAAAGGTCAGACGCTTATTTGACACCAGTGAACAACTCCTGTCCCTTTAGATTAGCTCTCCAACTTCTGAATCTGACCATGCTCTAACTCTAACCCTAATTATATTATAATTTCCTCTTACTGCTTTTGGATCTTGATAAGAAGAACCAACCTCTAGACGAGACGGTGCCACGTCCCAACCAAGACGAGGCCGTTTCCTGGTTCGCGCCTTCTCCATTTCTTCCATTTCCATGGCCATCGTTAAATTTTTACCTTGATCCCTCTATAAATCTGCAACACAAAAGCTACATAAACTTTCACAATCGGAGATGTTCTAGATTATTTCTATAGGTTCCCTGGTTAGGGTTATTTCAATATGGATTTGGGTTTTTTTTTTTTTTTTTGCGCGGACTTGCTGATTGCAATATATATTTCCTTAATTTTCTCTCCCGGAATGGCGGTTTCGTGTTTCGGTACTTTTGGGTTTATTTAAGCTTCTCGTCCCTTCAGCCCAGTAGTTTTGGGCCGTTATCGGCATGTGAAACCCGATAAATTGACCCAATAGGTTAGGCGAGTACAAAAATTAGTCCACTAGATCATCTCTAAAATTATTTTTTTATCTACTATATTTGTTGCAGTAACTTTGAACTCGTCAAGTGGACATAGTGAGTTCCAATAAATT